CCTCACCGACAAGGCTCCCGTCACCGCCAAGGCTCCTGCCCGCCCTCGCCTCGCCGAGCCCCCGACCCGCAAGGCCCCGCCCCGCACGGCCCCGCCCCGTACGGTCCCGCCCCAGAGCGGGCCAGTCCCGCCTCGGCCACCGCACGTATTGTCCCTCGCCGCCTCCAAGGCTCCTTTTTGCCCTATCTCTCTTTTCGGCCGTCCCGCCCCGCCCCAGAGGACAATCGCGGAGGTGAGGGCTTTCCAAGCTCATGAAGCATATAAAGCTGGATTCGCCCGGCGATAAAACGGCTGGGTTATACATCCGCTGACTTCATTTCAGTCGGGCTGCGAATGTCAAAAAGTATAAAGCATTGCACCCCTTGCACAAGTACTCTTGGATAACATATCTGTGTACTTGCTCTGAAATTCAAGGCTAAATTAATTTGACGGATTTAAAAAGAGTTCAATGTATCGGTACATACTTTTTTGTTTTATTTTCTGATTTAGATAGAAAAATGGGGATTTTTTGTAAGATTTGCAACCGAACATTCTCTTCAATACTTTTTCTCTGAAATGAATTATATTTCTCGCCTTGCCTATTTAATGCAAAAAGGTTAGGACTGAAAAAGAAGTTTCGTGCTGGGAATTCGTCGTTTTTTATATTACTGACCCCTTTTTAATATTGTAAATGACTCTTGAATAGTGACAACTGTGGCAAATTTCATTTGGCACAATTGAAAAGGCAACTTTGTTTTAAATATTTATATTAATGAGTATCATAAGATGTAATATACGGTACTGAGGGAATACAAATTTGGGGTATGAGTATTTTCTAATGAATATACGAGTACTTCCTTCTCAAACGACTTTTTAAAGTAAACTTATTTTACATTAGAGATATAACTTATTACCTTTATCTACCACCCAAATAATTCTATAATATATAATTAAGTTTATTATTTTATATTGATTGATATGATTTCCACTTTGAAGATTTGTGAATTTATTTGTTTCGTTTAACACAGTATCTGGCTGATTCAAATTCTGATAGATATCTTATCCACTGGTTTCAGATTACCTTGATTCATTAGAAACATTCAATTATAATCAGAATTAAGAACAGAAACTATCCGTCAAATAATGCTGAAACGTACCTATTCCTTTTTCACATATTTATATAATATACTAGCAACTGATCATTTCAACCTTGGTTCATCAGCAACAGCATCCCGAATAAAGACAGATTTTCGTATTACAAATATTTAATTCAATTTGCTGCCCCCTAAAAAAGAAGGAATCATCAATTCAAGGAATAAACAACAAACTTACTTAAAAAAAGCTAACAATAATGAGGAACCTGTTAGTCTTCCCGTATTTCTATTTATGTAAAGAATGAGTGCAATGTTTGAAATGTACGAAAGTGTTCGAAAAGAAACGGGAATTTCGTTATTGCACGGTTGGTATTAGTCTGGTTTGCGAAATTGTTTTTTATTGTGTTGGTAAGTATGTCTCAAATGCATCTGCTCAATGATTCTATTGTTGGATGGTTAGTCTGTTGTTAGTTGCGAAGAAAATTATGTGTTTGCTTATGAGTGGCGATTTTTGGCTAGTTGAAAAAATGGATAAGAGAATTTGCATTAAATTTTTGATTTAAAGACGGAATAAATGTAACAAAGTTCTAGAAATGTTGAAAATTGCTTTTGGTGAGTCTGCTATGAGCAAAACAAGGGCTTATGAGAGGTACAAGCGGTTCCAAGATAGCCGTGCAAACGTGGAAGACGACGAGCGTTCTGGACGCACCAGCACATCAACAAGAGCTGAAATTGTGGAAAAGATGCAAGAAATAATTATAAAAGATCGCCGAATTACAGTCAGGATAGTTGCTGAAGATGTTGGCTCATCAATTGGCTTATGTCATGAAATATTTTCGAATGTTTTGGGTTTAAAACGTGTGACAGCAAAATTTGTGCCAAAGGTGTTGAATTTCGAACAAAAACGGCAGCGAATTTAAGTTGCTCAGAAGTCGCTAAAAGAAGTCAACAACGATGCAGAAATACTAAAACGTGTCATAACAGGTGACGAATCATGGGTGTACGGGTACTACGTCGAAACTAAAGTTTAGTCGTCCCAGTGGAGGCATCCTGGATCGCCAAGACCGAAAAGAGCTTGGCAGGTGCGGTCGTATGTGAAGGTTATGCTCACATTTTTCTTAGACTTTAACGGCATTATAAGTTCTTGAGAAAAGATCAAACAATTAATAAAGAGTACTATCTACAAGTTCAACGCTGTTTGCAGGAAGCAATCCGAAAAAAACGCCCGGATTTATGGCCAAACCTTTCATGGCTTCTGCATCACGATAATGCACCTGTCATTGCACGTCATTGTTTGTACGTGAATTTTTGGCAAGAAACAACACTGTAATGATACCACAGCCTCCGTATTCGCCAGATATGGCCCCGTGCGACTATTTTCTTTTCCACAAATTAAAAAGAACTTTACAGGGTCGTCGGTTTTCAAGCACAGATGATATTAAAAGCGCGTCGCTGAAAGAGCTACATGCTATCCCAAAGATGGAATCCTAGACGTGTTTCGGGGAATGGACGAAGCGCTGGCATAGGTGTATCATATCTAATGGTGACTACTTTGAAGGCGATAACATGAATGTTGACGAATAAATAACATTGATTCATAAAAGTGAAAATTCCCGTTTCTTTTCGAACACACCTCGTATTATTTCTGTTATTTAATTTTGCGTCTTTGTGAGTTCAGTTCTTACTTACACTACAACAATCTCTGCCAAGCAGTAATGCGTGTCTGAGGGGGAAAAAGAAAGGAAAAGTGTCGTTGAAAGACGAAGAGAAGTGGAGTAGGCTGTATCTGTCGGCCGCATTGGTACTCACGAGTATCTTCTCCGGGTCGACGTCCGTGTGCGGCCAGCGGGGCAGGGGCGGGCTGTCGGGCCCGGGTGGCGCCGGCGGCTCGGGCCCGGGGCCGGGGCCGGGCCCGGGTCCGGGGGCGGCGGCGGCGGAGCCCGGGCCGGGGGAGCCGGTGGGTCCCGCCGCGGGAGACAGCTCCACCACGGCCATGGTGCGCGCCCACAGCTCGGGCTGGTGCACGTTCAGCACCACGAACAGGAAGCACGTGAGCACCAGCAGGTACAGGAAGCTGCGTCGAAGCGATATCCGGGGCAGCATGGCATCACGGGCCGATCACCTGCGGGCAATTTGTAGCGTGCTCACATTACTTACATAGTTATGTTACACAACTGTCAGCATTAAATCAGTCTTAATGCACGAGTTAAATCATTTTCGAGATAACGTGTCATAAATACAAATCTAATAATATAAAAATCAATGTTTGTTTGTCTGCTTGTTCGTACTTAATGCGCTGCCATATCGTTCTTGCGATTACGAAAAAATCTGTCAATTTATTACTTGCACTTGGGCGAAGAATATAGGTCTTGTACCATGGGAATGTGTAGTCGATTCATTGATGATGATTTTATGCGTTTATGCTGACTCAAGCGCCCCTGAGCAGAAGCTCTACGCAACCCGCGGCACCGTCAAGTATTAAGGGCAAACCTCAACTCGTGAGAAAGTCTTTCATCTATTAAACGTTTAGCAGAGCGTAGCGTAAAACGTGACCAGTAGCTTGTGAGGTGTAATACTTGTACATTACAATATCGATGCATTACCGAGTTCACTAGTAAAATATATTTATCTTTGCATTTTTCTCTGGGTATCTAGGAGACAAATTAAAATTAATATTAAATACTACAATGTTAACATTCAATTACACTCCAAAGATGAAAACTGTTAATTTGAGAGCAGTGTAGACAAATGTTTAACTACAATTTTTCTTAGAATTTAAAATATTGAAATTTTCGTTTTGAAGTATTATATTTTGTTTTTTACACTGTTAATATAATTTCTCATCATTGTGTGGGAAGGTTGCATTGCACCATCAACTACTCTTGGAACCACACTGTTCTTTATTTCAATCTTAAAACCAGTTGGACCCGTGCAAACATTACACACTCTATAAATCATTGTTTTAGAGGCGAGAATAGCTTCACACTGTATTCCAACAACCAGCGTTTCTGGCAATCCGTGCTGTAGTGTGGGAGAACCTTTAAAAAAGGTAATAAACCGTTTGAATTTTTTCCTGGGCACAATATAACTTGTTTTCAAGAAATGTAAATCTTTTCAGTTTCTATGGTATTGTTTCCTCGTTACTGATGATGGTAAAGTGTTGATTATTTCGTGTTTTCGGGCACGTCAACTACTACGGGCATTATTCCCGTAAGTGTAGAGCATGAGTTTATCTCGGGAAGTGTCAGTGTTCTTCACCCACTGGCTAGCGAGATGTAGCGCCGATCTGCTTGTCATATTACAAAGTTTTCCCCCTAATCCCCCTCCAACGGAGTAAAGCCCCAGCCGGCACAATCGCTAAGCTCCCGTTTGGCCTCCCGAGGAGGTATGGTAGTGTAGTGCATACAAATGTAAGTAAGGGGTAATGGGTGACGATAGGACAAGTAAGAGGAAGGAAAGGACTGTGGCCCACTAGTCAGGGTACTGCCCCAGCATTCGCCTGGTGTAGATCGGAAAAATTACGGAAAACTACCTACCAGAACAGCCGGCAGCTAGATTTGTCCTACAGGTAGCGCCTGAATTTCATCTATCTTAAGTAGTTTCGGAAATACGGTCACCGTCGAGCCTTGAACCCTTGGACCTCCCAGTCAGAGGCACTGCAGTGACATTGAGACACCTCAGCCGGTATGGTGAAGTGTGATGCAGCAAAATGGATGTAGGAGGTTGCATGTTAATATTTTGAAAAATATATCCGCACAAAACTCTTCAATTAATTTAAGTCTTACCTATGTTGATGGTGAATGTAGCTTAATGACTAGAAGTAAAGTAGACATAAGTATTGAAGGAAACGATTCACGCGGAAATGTTAACTAACTAAATTTGTTCAACAACTGCTTTCATCCATATTCTTGATTCTTCCACGAGAAAACATAACATATACACCTCTGTACAACATAAATTCTCAGCTGACTGTAACATAAACACAAATAACACAACTCTCTCATGCTGTCTCGCACCGCTTATTATCTCATTCAACACGCAAATAGCTGATATAAAATATATTGATAAATTCAATATCATCGCACTGATTTTGCCTATTTGTATCTAACAACACACTAAACAACACACGACTACGTAATATTTTAAAATCTAGCAAGGAAGCGCTAGTACAGATCGTCTATGAATAGCAGGGGGCTTAGACGTTCGTGAAGGCTTTTGCGTTACTTGTGCCACATATTCACTTGTTCACATATTCATATGTTCACTTGCAATTCAATCTAAACGACATTCTTCAAAGACAAGAAAATTGCGTAGTTTTGTTACCAATGGAAAGTAGTAAACGCTTTCTATACGGCTGTGAAATTCTGTCAGTAAATGCCTGGACATGAAGAAAAAGTTCTGGCAACTTGCAAAACTAGCTAAAATTGACGTAGATGCAGATGTAATACCTGCTGAAAATATGCACTTGTAAAATATGCTAGATGGAAACATGACCACTCTTTAGGATACAGACACAAAACCGGTTAATTTCCCCCCAGAAAATGAGCTTCGTGCACACAAAAACTGAGCAGATGTATTTTATAGAAAAATAGAGGATAATGAAGAAAAAAATTGACTGTAAAGTTCGAATGCCAGTTATATCTACTAATTCTTGCGGATATGCAGGCTAAGTAGCTTATTATGTGCTGCAAATACATTTGTACAGTTTCACCATTTGTCGTCTCATGTTTCTCAAAATAATCTATCACGTGCGTATATCTTGAATTTGAGTATAGTAAGATATCAAATCATCTGACCCAACAGATAGTTGGAAGTAGATGTGCTTTAGACAAATTGACTATTATGGACCACTATATAATACTTATATTGTTATCTTCCTAATGCCTTTGTTTCCTTCCTAATGCCTTTTTGTATTATTTGAGTACTTCAAATATCGTCAATTATCTGTACTAATCAAGTGGTCGCTCATGATCTCTTTGTTAATACAATCCTGTAAATAAACCAATTATTTAAAAAAAATATATCAAATCAGATTGCTCCTGAAGTGAATCTCAATCCACAGGAGACAAATCTACAAGAAATAAAAAATACTCAATTAGTGTATTCTCCGACTGTTGGGGCGGCCAAAACAATAATACTTAATTGCTACGATTATGCCATAGTTCCTAAATGAAGCACGACCTGAGATCAAAACAATCGACTCCCTACTGTCACACTGATTTGTGACTTCCTACTGACAGATTATAGGGCAGGGTTTTCGTAAATCTAGAAAGGCAGTTCAGGAAAGGCAGTGTGGTTGAGCATCCTGTTTGTCAATATTTTGTGATATATTATTTGTATTTTTTTCGGCTCTCACATCCCAATTCCGTGTTCCAAAATATTATGCGTTGATGGACGTTGTCATGGCGTCAGCTTGGGCCGCCGGCCGCCTGCAAGCACAAGCAATTCTAGTACTTGGTGGTGTTACATATGTGTATCGCGTAGAACTGCTTGGCTCCATCTTGAATTGTAACGTTATGTTTACAGCAAGAGAAAATTCTTTTAAATGTTTACTCACCAGGCGTGCACATTTATGTAAATTTTAGACAAAGTCATTTCTAACAAATTTTAAGTTAAAATTTAAATTGTTAAATTTTGTAGAGAAACTTGTCCTCCATTGCCTCCTCTAAAAATCCGCCACTGGCTACGGATTAATAGTAATATTTTAGGATGCAGATCATGCATCTTGATGATGTATGTCTTGTAAATAGAATAGAAACAAATTGTAGTTTGCAAAGAGTTGTCCCTCTCAAGGAACTGGTGCCACACAGGATATCAAAATTGAGTGTCATGGCGAAGGATATCAACTACTGAAATTTCAAGAAAACACACTGAATATTTTGGAACTCGCGGGAAGTTTTATGTTGTAAAAGAAATGTATTCGTTGTGTGTTTTATGGCGTTTAAAAGAATCCCAAGTTAACGTCCGCCGTGCCAGGGCACTGCGACCAGAGAAGCGGCAGAGACTGGGGATCTGGACTCGAGGCCAGAAAGGCGAGGCGAGGCGTTGAGGCGGGCAAGAAGGAACGGGGCGGAAAAGGCAGAACCAAGCGGGCGGGGCGGGGTGGGGGAGGATCATGAGGGTTGGGTTCGGGGTGAGTGGAGAGGAGGAGAGAGGACGGAGCGTGACGGAGTGTGTAGGACGGGTGGGACGAGCTGGGGAGCGGGTTTTAGTGCGGGACTGAGGCGCTGCGTGCGAGGTGGGGGGCTAGGTGGGAGGGAGAGCCGTGGACCAATGTCTGGGGTGAAGTGGGTGAGAGGGGTGGTAGGGATCGGGCGCGGGCGCTCAAGGGAGCGAAGGCGGGGGAGGGAAGGCAGAGTGAATGCAGGGAGGGTTGGGAGGCTGAATGAGATGGGTGGGGCAGGGGATGGGGTGGGGTGGAGGCAGGTGAGGCGGGGAGGGTTTGGGCAGGCTGTATGAGACTGAGTGGGCAGGGTGGGGTGGGGTGGGAGGCCGAGTGAGGCGGGCAGGGGCGGGTTTGGGGTGGAGCGATGCGCTGCAGGGGCGCCAGCGATTCCTTCCAGCCAGATGCGTTTTACGTCCTGTGTTAATGCAAGATTTATGGAGGGCGCCCGCACGCTGGCCGGGGCTCAGACCCGCTTCCCTGCCAGTGCCTCGGCCAGCACCCCTCCACTCCCCCCCCCTCGCTCAACTCTTCGTCTTCGTTCATGATGGCGACTCCACCCTCATTAGATTTGTAGTTTTCGCCAGCGTCATCTTCGATGACACTACCCTCTCTTCACTTTCAATTGCCACAGCGTGGTCAGTAATAATATTACTACATCAGAATTACATTGATACTGAACGTCTAAGGACTATCAAAATTAGTGGACTGAACGATGATAAATAAAAGAAACGAGGAGGAATGAAGTAGATAATGTCATTATTGAAATGTTATTATTATCGGCCATTGTAGTCTAATTTACAACACACATATCAATTACATTTTATTCATTGTCAACAACAGCATTCAACTGCATCACTACCAGTCATCGTCATTATTACGACCGTTCTCGCTGTCAAGACCTCCTCTGA